TCATTTGATAAATGAGCAAAAAATTATTTGCTCATTTGACAAATGAACAAAAAATTATTTAATGCTCATTTAAATGAGAAAAAAATTATTTGCTCATTTGATAAATGAGAAAATAATTATTTGCACATTTTATCAATATAAAATTTGTTTCCTAATATCAAATGCATGAGAACATTATCATGTAATTCAAAGAGGACAGACAAAAGCAGCGAGAGAAGCAGAAAAATAAACTAAAATCCCGCACAGTTACAAGATAACATACTCTGAACATATCAAGATAAAGTTCCAAAATAGCTTGTTCTATCTCAAGAATCAACAGTAGAAACCATCTGCCTACAATATATATAATTTTATGTAGTTATGATGGTGACTTCATATATATATATATATATATATATATATATATATATATATATATATATATATATATATATATATATATATATATATCTCCTTTACAATTTTATAGGAGACAACAAAACAGAACAGTTTTCATAATTTTTTAAGTTAAAAATATCTAAACAACCTAGCTAGACAACTCCGGTCATATCAGTAAGACGGTAAAGCTACCACCTAATTTTTACTATGAATAGATAAATATACAAATACACAGCAGATGTGAATTGCCAAAGCAATAACCAGTAGCTATTGACCAGTGACTCATCCTTCACAAGAGCTTCCTTGCTATGACTGGTTTTTTTTTTCTTTTTAGGATGGGGGAGGAAGAGAAGGGCCATATTGATACAACCTTGCCCTCATGGATGCAGAAAGGCAATTCTGTTAAGCCAATACTTGCAGGATTTCAAAATTTAATTCAAATAATTACTAATATAATCAAAATTGAAAATAGAAGCAACAAATAAAAAAACAACTTTACCTCAATGTTTTTTTTATTCCAAAAAGCTACATTAATAGTCCGATATTGAATTAGGCGTGATAAAACATCAAGGTATTAAAGTCAAACATCTTTATTACCTAAGTCTTTTCTCTGTATCGCAAGTAACAAGAGCATAAGGATCTGATGTGCCATTCACATTTCCAGCGATAAGATTCTTTAGAAAAACATTATAAACTTAGAAAAGGACAAAAACATTGCTACGATCAAAATTGAGGTTAAGGTACCAAGTGAAAAGCAGGGAATACTCAAAATTGAAGAAGCAAGGAGAGAAAGGGAACAAGAAAAGCATCACTTATCACAGTTTAATTGGTTCTACAATTCACAAATTATGGTATCACTAAACATAACTTAAAATTTTACTTTAGAAAAACAAAGCAAACCCATTCCCCTTATTCATGGTTCTCTCAATCATAAACTTATAACTCACTCCATTCAAATGTGATATCTTCCATGATCTCAGTATATCACTTAGCATCACACTACACTGTTTTCTTAATTTCTTCATTCTTATATGGAAACATATATGCGCGTAACTTCAATTCATTCCCGTCATTTGACAAATTATTTGCTCATTTTTGAAAAATTAGTAAAGAATAAATATTAATTTTTGAGAAAATGAGCCAAAATTATCTGCTCATTTAGCAAATGAGCAAATAGTTAGTTGCTCATTTAGCAAATGAGCAAATAGTTAGTTTCTCATTTGTCAAATGAGCAAATACTTATTTGTTAATTTAACAAATGAGCAAAAACTTAGTTGCTCATTTGTCAAATGAGCAAATAGTTGGTTGCTCATTTCTCAAATGAGCAAACATTTCTTTAATCATTCATTAAATCAACAAGCATTTATTTGCTCATTTGTGAAATGAGCAAACATTATCCAACAAGGCATACATAAGGGACACTGGGATAGGAGCATCAACAGATTAATTAATAGCAGCCCACATCCAATAACCATGATACCAGAATTTTTAATTCAATAGTTCCAGGTATGAGTGAATAAGGCTCAACTCTAATATATCCTTCGCGGAATAAGTGAAAAGATGATTCACACTGAAGTAGCTGAACGAATAAACTTCAGACAAGAATGAATTCTCAGTTTTTAAAAAGGAAGTAGTAAATATCATTCATATGAAATCAATGAATTATAATTTTCTGTATACTTTGTATGCATCCGTAATTCCGTGACCAATTCTTGTAGCTCAAAAGCTTAAAAGGGGGATACTAGCAAAGGCAAGTGCCTAAATTGGAAATTGTTTTGGTTCAGCAAAGTCGGTTAAAAGCATTGTAATAGTCACCATATATGACAGTAATGTTCTTATAATCTTGGTTCAGCAATTGAAGTCTCTTTTGTAGCTCATCATTGTGATAGGCTGACAAGTTGATTAAGAGACGCAATTTTCTGTTGGTTATAGAGTTCTTGGCTTGACATGTTGTGCTATAGGCAGGGAAATGGCTTAAAGGAAAGGTTCCCGGTACAATTATCTTGGTAGCACCACTTTGGATGACCCTCTTAACAACATACCATGATACTAATTTTATACTTTGAAATAACATAATTGCATAAAAATTCAGAAAAAATGCATAAAAACAAGAGGCCGGGATTAATGTTTCATTGTTAGGAGAACAAACATACTCTGATGCCTTCAATAATCGCTTGGACAACATCAAAAACCATGCCATTGACATCCTTCATCGTTTTTCCCTGTGGCAATGCATAGTAATAGTCATTGCTTCCTATTTCCCCAACTACAAATAGGGAATTCTTGAGTTTTTCTGCACAATCTATTCAACAATTTCAATTGGATCAGTGTTATCAGATGCTAGTCAAGTGTGTATGCATGACATGGTCACCTTATATGTTCCGGGAAATTTGTAGTTCATTGATTTTAGATAAGGGGTCTATAAGTTCAGACAAGGGAATTTTAGGTGAAAAGAACGAGACTTGGCCTAATTGTATATTAGCCATCAAAATAAGTGAATTTGGAACGTAAATGACCGTATACCTTGGTCATTATAGCAAATGGAGTTGAAGTGCGACCACATCCAATCAAGCTGTACGCTGAGAGAGCTATTTTTGACAGAATTTACTATATTTTTATCTGCAAGAAACTCTGCAGGGAATGCTGTGGCACCAGCAACCGCAAAATTTACTCCATGTGTGAAATCTGCATCTCTTTTTAAGTATGGATTCAAGTGCCGAATGTCCAATGCCTTTGCTGATCATAAATCATAATCACCAAAAGAAGTGGGAAAAAAATCTGTAAAATAGTCATAATTCAAAGACATTAATGAAATCAGACATTCAAAGGCCGTTTTCTGAGCTAGACAAATTAAAACTCAGAATTCTTTGAACAGACAAAGTAGACGAAATAATTAAATCAACTTGAAACCCTGCAATTCCATTCCATTTCACACCCACATTCAGATCCAACACCGAAAAACAAAAACACAAAAAACAAAAATGAAAGAAAACTGAAAAAAAATTTCAGTGAGGCATTTCGTTGAATACCCTGTAAGTAGTCACAATTCTCAGCTTCTTTGCATACAACATCAAGAACATAATCAATCAATCACCCACATCACAAAAAGATTCAAACAACCAAATTCAATAAATTCATAATCAAATTAATAAAATTGAAAAACAAAGATAAAAAGAGAAACCTCCAGAATTCTTCAACAGTAGAGAAAGTATAAATGGGTCGAATAGAGATACGCTAAGCAGCTTGTTTCGATTTAGCAGTATGATTATCAAACCAAAAAGTCCAAGCATTCTCAAGAGGATGAGTTGTTGCGATTAATTTGCTGGGTTTTTCGGCGTTTGAGTTATCGTCTATAATCTCGCCTTTCTCCAAATCATCATCGTCTTTTCTTTGGTCTTCAATCTCAGTTGCCGCCATTGATTTCTCAAGCTCTTCTACTGCCAATAATTGCTTCTCTCTCTAAAATCTTTCAAATTTGTTGAGGAAGGATGAACTTGAACGAGGAGAGAGAAAATTGTGCGTGAAAGAGGAAGGAGGAGGGAGAAAAAACGCATTTGACCGGGATTAATTGTGGTCGTTGGATGTAATTAATCCAACGGTTATAATGAGTCCTCACATATAAAAAGGGTTCTCACATAAGGGATGTGGTCTCATATGATCCCATTTCTATATATATATATATATATATATATATATATATATATTATATATATATATTAACTAATTGTCTAAGCCAATATGGTTAGGGGTTCAAAAAAAAATATGGTTAGAGGTTTAAGATTGAGTTTATAGTTTGATTTTATAATTTATCATGCTCTGTTCCATAAGTTTTTTAGATTTGAAAAGTGGGTGCAGTACAAAATTTATTATATCCAATGCTAAATATTATTCCACTTTGATATATGAAGAGTTGATGTGATTTGAGCTTGTAACGATCTTGATACATAGACTTTGATACCATGTGTGTCAAATGATCAACTTAGATAAAACCTAAATTAATGGTATATTCAACATTGGTTTTTGTTCGATAATATAAACTCCTTAGATTGGAGTGTATACTATTGATTCATATATATAGGGTTACAACGGTGAAACCTAATCACGTTAGGAAATCTCAAAAGATATTTACAGATTATTCACAAAACTATATCCTTCTATACATAATAATATCTAGAATATTTATCATATTCTATCACACCCCCGCAGTCATAGCGGGAGGAGGACGTACGCTGAGACTGGATCTGAATTCCAAAAATAGTTGTCGAGGTAGGCCTTTTGTGAAGATGTCTGCAAACTGATAACGAGAAGGAACGTGCAAAACCCGTATATGCCCCAACGCCACCTTTTCTCGAACGAAATGAATGTCCATTTCGATGTGCTTGATATGTTGGTGTTGTACGGGATTATGAGATAAATAAATTGCACTAACATTATCACAATAAACAACAGTGGCCTGCCGGAGAGGACAATGTAACTCCAAAAGAAGATTACGAAGCCAACATGCTTCGGCAACAACATTTGCAACGCCTCTATATTTTGCCTCTGCACTTGATTTTGAAAAGAGTAGGCTGACGTTTAGAAGACCAGGAAATAAGGTTGTCCCCTAGAAAACAATAATAACCTTAGGTCGACCATCGGGTGTCTGGACACCCGTCCCAATCTGCATCAGTATAAGTGATCAAGTGCATGGATGATGAAGGATATAAATGTAACCCATGATCAATGGAGTCCTGAATGTAACGCAGTATGCATTTCAATGCATCATAATGAGTCTGTGTAGGGTCATGCATGAACAAACAAACCTGTTGAACTGCATAAGCTATGTCAGGGCAAGTAAAAGTGAGGTACTGTAATACACCTGCAAGACTACGATAGAGTGTTGGATCATGAGATTTCGGTCCTGTCTTTGCACTAAGCTTGGATTGAGTATCCACTGGAGTCGCCGCAGGTTTACAACTAGCCATGCCTACGCGCTCTAAAATTTCCTGTGCATATTTCTGTTGAGACAAAAACAGATATAAAGGAGTACGAGTAACAGCAATGCCCAGAAAATAACTCAAAGGACCTAAATCAGTCATTGAAAATCTTGTACGCAAGTGAGAGATGATGCGGTCGCGTAACAAATTTGAGGATGTAACCAACACAATATCATCAACATATAGTAGCAAATATGCCATGTATTTCCCATGCAGGAAAATGAATAAAGAATTGTATCTTTTAGCAATGACAAACCCCATCTGCATGCAAGAGATAATTAGCAAACCGCTGATACCAAGCTCTTGGAGCTTGTTGCTTTGAGAGAAAAACGAAAAATGAAAAATTGCGGAAGCTAGGTTGGATCTAAAACCTATGTTGTGATACCATGTTAGATAATGTAAACTCCTTAGATTGGAGTGTATTTCATTGATTCATATATATAGGGTTACAACGGTGAGACCTAATCACGTTAGGAAATCTCAAAAGATATTTACAGAATATTCACAAACTATATCCTTCTATACAGAATAATATATAGAATATTTATCATATTCTATCAGTTTTATTCTCTAGCATTAAAATACTTTATATTACATTTTTATAAATAAGATACCTAAGGTAAAAGAACGTACAATTGTAGATGCTAACGTGTCGTGCCCAAGATATATTTTCTCCTATTCAGATACTCCTTCCGTCTCTATTTATTTGCTCCATGTTTACATACATTTACACTTTAGTACTTTGCTTTTTCGATAAATGTTTGCCTTGTTTAATTTGTTGACCGAGTATTCTTGAAATCATTGTCCGAGCAAATCAAACATATGGTACACATCATGTCGTCCCTAAAATAATAATCATTTAAATAAAGCATTAGAGATAATTGTTATTATGTTTAATCAACTACCAAAGGAAAAGTTAGTAAATTTACACATTGCTATAATTACAATATATACAATGTAGTAAAGGCACTCTTGTATATTTATTTCTAGTTTTCCTCCAGAAAGTCAACTTAAAACAAATAAACTAGTATATTATAGACAAGAAACGATGAGTTACTTGCCAATTTCATGTAGTTAAAATTTCCTCTTGCTTTTATTATACGGATCAGAGTGGATGGTTGAGGCATTATTATCCATGAATTCATCATCCGATAATACATCCGTATTAATTTATATAGACAATAGTATGTAGTAAATTAAATTATTACTACCTTCGTTTTATATTTTTGTAATTTAAGGGTATTATTTATGAGATATAAAATATTCTAAAGTTGTAAAAAATATAAAACGAAAGTAGTATATGTTTAGCAAATGGGAGCAATCATTTTCGTGATTAGTTTTTGTAATTGAGTACACTCCACTCTGTAAAAGTGAATGAGAAGTCATATCTGCCAATATTAATATAATTCATAGCCAACTCACCACGTGATTAATGTTTGGACGGTTGGACCAGGCCACTTCTGTTAGTTATTTCTCCAAAACTAGTGGAACTGGCATATTATTTTCCTAATTCTCAGTTTATGAGAACGTAATTCAAAGTACTTAAGTTACTGGTGGAGTGTTTGTTACCCACGTGTTTATTTCTCGTACTTCCTACTTTATAGCGTGTTAGTTTTTAGAGTTGTAAGCCTATTTGATGGGCCAAGTATCTTCATTTTTAGAGTGTAAACTATATGCAATCACTAATTTCAACAACTTCTACTATATATATGTAGCAAATCATGAACTCTTAAGTTAGCAAGCTAAGCTAGTTAAAAGAAAGCTTATTTCGTAACCAAAACAAATTAAACTATTATCATCATCATGTCTTTGAATTCATCATTATCATCTAAAGACTCATCTTCTTGGGTCATTCAGATTCGTAGTTTTTTCAAAGAAAGAGAGTTTGAAGAAGAAGATGATGATGATATCGGCAACACAACTAATGTTTGTGTTTACAATGTCCCTAAATCGCTTCGAGCTTTCAAGCCCGGTGCGTTTAGCCCTCATGTTATAAACGAAATTGCACAAATAAAATAGTAAGAACAATGTTACCGAGAATAAGACTGAGTCGCGGACTATGTCGCTCTCTTTAGAACATTCGCGGCACTGCCTCAAACTTGTGCAAGCAGCTCGTACCAAACCGGATGCCCTCAGGATAAAACAGTCTTCCACAAGTATAAAATACCGGCGGTTTTGCACCGAACCACCGGACAATGGAACACTCTGTTTTTTTTTTTCCGTGTATTTAAAAACTCGATGGGAAAAATTAAGTTTGTTTAATAACCCAAACCCGACCTAACCCAGCCCGGCTCGGCACGCGTGTGTGATATATGGTTTACCATATAGGTCCTCCCTCTCCACAAAATGTGGGTAGCCCAAGGGCCACACCCCTTTAGCCCACTCTCTAAATTATAAAGAGAGTAAAACTCTCATTTCCCACCAATGTGGGACTTTGAGTTTTTTCACAAAATTCACACACTACACACTTGTTGTTCCAACACCTCATATCATAGCCTTAGGGCCTTACCATCATTGGCGCGAAGATCTTTATGTGATGGAGCGATACAAGCTCCTATGTTCTAAGAGAGTTCAGAAGGATTTCATGAACAACCTCAAATTTGAGGACCTTGTGAAGAAGCTCATGAAGAAGGAACACCAAATTCGAGGGTGTTACAATAAGTACATAGACATGGATGGAGAAACAATAGCATGGATGATGGCTATCGATGGCTTATTCTTGCTAGAGTTTCTTCATGTCTATGTCAACAAGAGTAATGACCTAGCCTCTTCGTCGAGGATATCTTTCTTGGTTAACTCGATGGGAAAGAAGTTGGCTTATATATCCATCCTCAACGACATTTTGATGCTCGAAAACCAAATCCCTATATTCGTGTTGAAGAAGATCCTACGAATCCAATGTTCATCCTCGGACGTGGCAGGAAACTTGTTGCCATCCGTGTTGATGGGTGCTTGTAAAGAGCTCTCTCCTCTTGCAATAAACGAAAATTATCCTATTTCAGAGGTTATCAAATGCTCACACTTGTTAGATCTCCTTTACCATCTCATTGTTCCGAAAATGGAGCAAGATGAAGAGGAAGGCATAACGGAAGAAGCAAATCTTTACAAGAAGCCAAACAACGAAGAATTGAATTTTGGTGAGGACAAAGAGGTCTTCACTAAAACATGGGCGATTGCCTCCAAACTTGCGGCAATGAAAAAATTTAAGGAGGTTCTTAGTGCCAAACCTATCAAGCTACTAGCAAAATTTCCTTTAACGGTCATTTCAAAGTTACCAATTGTCTCGGCTTTGTCACCCGTATTAGAGAGTCTTTTTCTAGGAAGTGGCAAAGAAACTAGCAAGCGCGAAGGTGGGAGCTTACAAAAGAATGATGCGGAAGTTCTATGTGTAGAGCAGATTGCAATTCCGTCGGTCACGAAACTTAACGATGCAGGCGTACAATTTTGTCCAACAAATGGTGACATTTCCACCATTCGATTCGATAAGAAGTTGTTGAAGTTCTACCTCCCTGTGGTTCATGTCGATGGTAACACCGATGTTCTCATGCGCAATCTAGTGGCTTATGAGGCCTCGTCGACCTCGGGCCCCTTGGTGCTAGCACGTTACACTGAACTAATGAATGGGATTGTTGATACTGCTAAGGATGCTGGAATTCTTAGGAAGAGTAACATCATAATAAGTCGACTAGGGAGTAACGCCGAGGTGGCCGATTTATGGAATGGGATGACAAAAGACATTCGATTAACCACAGTTCCTTTCATTGATAAAGCCGTTGAAGATGCCAATGCGTATTATAACAATACGTTTAAGAGGAAATTCCATAAAATTATGAAAAGGTATGTGTATAACTCTTGGAGAATCCTCATTGTTTTGGCAACTCTTCTACTCTTGGGATTGATGGTTCTTCAATCATTTTGCTCAGTTTATAATTGTCCTCGTCTCTTGAACCTTGGTGATGATGCCGTTAATACTACTACTACTGATTAATGATCTTGTTATCTTTAGTTTATACTTTATACAAGTATTCTTAATGGTATGGACGACGAAGATCCTAGGAGGGGAATTTAGGAAAATTCCTCTTATAATTAGTTTTGTGAGATTTGACCCCCGGCCTCACGTCAAAATATGTGTTGGAGGATTAGCCAACTGTATGTTGTTGCTTTAATTTATCGTTCATAATTTATGATAACTAAGCTTGTAGTACTCCGTATTATGTATAGGTAAATATGTAATCTTATCCTTAGACCCTTTTAGTATATATAGTTGGCACTTGAGATACTATGTTCGATTTCTGTTATATTATTTGAATGTATATACAAATATAATTGTATTATTTTGTGTCCAAATTTCTGTAAGTGGTATGAATTTAATTCTCTCAATGATCTGATTAGACTCGAGAAAACGATGACCAATTCTAGCCTGTGATCGAACAACCATCATTATTCATTCATGATCTTTTCTTTCATATTCCATTCTTCCATACAATAAAACTGCATAATGCATTAAAAACAACTACAAATTTAGGGACCCATTTGTCGATTTTACAAAAAAATAGGGAAAGTTTTGTATTCCATAAATGCAAAATAACAAACTTTCCAATTACATTTTTTGATTTGAAGTATATTTTAAGATATCCGGCGGTTGTTAAATTATAAATAAATAGATATGATAGCTCATTAGATATACGTAGTAACTAGTAAGTTTAATCAAGAAGATGTGTCCAACGATCAAAATAAGCAAACCTTGCCGCATCCGATAGAAAGAAAGTATATGCCAAACTTATATCCATACATCGAATGGGATCCCAACTTCCTTTTTATGTATAAAATAATGGGAGTATTATAAATGTGATAATTATTTAATTTGAAAAAGTTATATCTAGCTAGTGAAATACTGAAACCAACTATACAATAATCATTGTTGTGAACTTATTAACATAACACCAATTTGGCAACTACTCGTAAACACTATGAACTACACATTGGCAACCAAAGTGGGCCCCATATGCCAAATATTTTAAATAAACATTTAAAATAATATATAGTGAGAAAAAAAAAAAATTTACTTCCCCATCCATCAAAATCAAAATCAAATACACGAACTTTTAATTTTTGTAAAATATGAACCCCAAAATTCCAAAATTAAATTTTATTGTACTATTTAATTATTTTTTAACATATATTTTCTTTTCAAGTGTAATACAACACTTTGACTTTTGTACTATTCACCTATCTCTTAAGTCATACTCCTTCCGTTTCGTAATAATCGCAACACTTTGACTTTTGCACTATAAATATGTTTACTTTGACTCTATTTTTTATCAATTTATAAAAAAACATATATGCCATGTAATATATTATTAGATTAGTCTTTATGTATATTTTCATTAGATCAAGCTTTTATACTTATTAGTTATACATAATTACAAATATTTATAATCACAGTTGTGCATCGGCATATGTGACGGTCAAAGCGTTGCGATTATTATGAAACGGAAGGAGTAATTTTACACTAACATATACTTCGTATCATGCAAAGGATATTTATGGGGATATACTTATCTCAATATATTTTGTAAGCATATAAACTTTTCATAATGTTAACTAGTACTCAGCAGATAATTAGAAATATTAATTGTTATATATACTTGCATTTGTGATTTGACAAGTATACGTGTTTGTCAAACTATTGCATAACTTGTGAAGGTATTACTTTTTAATTTTCTTGACTGAAGGTAATAAATTAAATTACTCATATTGTATTAGAATATTTAATTTATCGATTTTGAGTTTTCTTCATTATTTATGTATATAAATTAATCACGTATATTTTGCAATATCATATATATGATAAATGATATCATTATGAAAATGTCATATAATTAGCCTAATGTATTTTTAACGTATCAATTTGTGACATATTTTCTAATATAATAATTTATTAAGACACTAGTAATAATAAAATGAAAGTTGCATAAAAGACGATTGTGCACATTCAAAATCAATAATAATAAACTAATGTACTAGAATGGAGAGAGTACCCATTAACACCTAAGGATTATCATTGAGCAAAGAGTTGTGTTACAAGGTCCAAAATGTTGTATTTTTGTGGTGTTTCCACAATACTCTTCATTATAAGAGTACGTTACTTCTATAATAATTAATACTAATAAGCAAAGTATCCCCAAATTGAAGTACCATGCATGGTTTGTGATGTTTGGCATTGGAAATTTAGAAAATAGGATGGAAAATCTTATCTAACCTTATCAAAGAAATAATAGGTAGAAAATGATGCCACGTGGAGCTAAGACAAATGACATGGCAACCACTCATTCAACTCAATTAGATTCACCCAATCTCCTTTTCTCTTTTCTCTCTCTTTCCTACCTTACAATACAAACTCTTGCTTCATTTCTTTCTTATTAGCTGATTCACTCCTTCACAAACTAAGCTAAGCTAATCAAGAAAAAAAATGGCTTCACTATCAGCAGTTTCAATGGCAACACCAATCACAACAACAACCAAGACTAACTTCTTCAGCCCATTACCCATTATGCCACAAAGGGCTGCATTGATGGGCCAGAAGCCCAGAGCAATGGGCCTTAAAGTCCAGGCTTCATTGAAGGAAAAGGCTGTTACTGGGCTTACAGCGGCGGCTCTTACGGCATCGATGATGGTTCCGGATGTAGCCGAAGCTGCGGAGTTATCGCCGTCTTTGAAGAATTTCTTGTTGAGTATTGCTGCTGGTGGAGTAGTGCTCACTGCTATTGTTGGGGCTGTTGTTGCTGTCTCCAACTTCGACCCTGTCAAACGAGTATAATTATAGTTCTTATATTATCATTATTAGTTGTTTACTTTTTTAAATTGTGCTAGTTTTGTAATTTCATGTGTATCATCTATCATTTCGATCTCACCATTTCTTCTCCCCCTTCATGATTTCATATGCTTTTGATGTAACAACTTATTTTGTTATGTCGAATTGACATTTGATCGCGGTTCATTTTGCAATTTATACTTGTGAAGTTAATTATAATGTCACATTAATTAATTAGTTCTTTTTGTTTATTATTATTGGAAAAAATGTATGTGTACAAACTGAATGTGTTGTCGACCGTTTGTGCTCCAAATACATGCTTATACGATAGGTTTCAGGTTCGAATCCTTCTCTGATCTGCCTTAGTGGCTCGTCTAAACCAAAAAAGTAGTAGTACGGAGTATTACATACATCGTACCTTAGGAATGACAATTTAGGAGCAACATAATCATAACTAAGGCTTTTTTTTTTTAATCTTTGGTCACGTGCAAATTTGGGATTATTTGGTGATGAATTGTTCTGGTTTTGGCTAATGTTCAATTGTTATTATGTTGTGGTTTAAGTTGTAATTTGAATTGAATTAAATTTAGCTGGGGAAGAATTAGTTTAGTTCATTGTATCTCTGTAAATGCGTTGAAGGGTAGATCAAGACATGGAAGAGATTGATTTCAAGCACCAACAGTGGCGGATCCAGGAATTTCCGACTGGTGGGTCACAATCGATAATCAAGTACGTAAAAAAAAAAATTTTATCGAACAACCAAATAATAGTACTAAAAAATACATCCAAATATTCAAACAGTACAAAATACAACAAAATGTTCATATAATACTACAAAAGACAACTAAATAGTAAATCTCTATCATCTTTATGAAATTGACTCATCTTTCTCCTCTTTCCTGGATCTTGTGGAAGATTAGCAAATTCATGTTCACTTAATCTTTCACCAAAGATTGGGGCATTAAGAGAACATTGGTCTTTGATGAGTGACATTTATGTCACTCTTAGGGGTAGTATTTAGGTCTTTTTCCTCTTATTTTTCTTAGGTTTTTCCACCTCATTATCCTCTTATGGCTTCTTTTTGTGTTGATGAAAAGTAATGCTTATTTTGATAATCTTTATGCATTATTTTATCATCCCCATGCTCTCGTGAACTTTGGTATCTTCTGCAGGTTCCGTGACAGTCCTATGCACGGTGGGAGGCCCCTTGGCCAAGCATGGAAGCCATGGACAAAGGAAAGAGGGGCAAAAGGGAAGGAGAGGAAGCAAGAAAAGGAAGTGCAAGAGGAGGTGTGGCCGAACCTCTGAAAGGTCCGGTCGAACCTTGGTGTGGTCAAACTTTTCAAAAGTTCGACCGAACCTCCAGGGTGCAGTGAAGGCAGTGTCAAACCTGTTTTCAGCAATTTTGCAGGAGAGGTCGAACCTCAAAAGTTCGACCAAACAAGGATCAGGGAGGTTCGACCGAACCTACACATGGTTCGACCGAACCTACCCTGTGTCCGACCGAACTTACCCATAGTTCGGTCGGACCTTTTCCCGAGCTCAGCCGATTTTGTACGGACTATTTAAGGTCCTTTTGAGGTCGTTTAAAAAGAAGACGGGAGAAGCAGGACAATAGCCTAGTTTTCAGAAACCTCCCTTAGTTTGAAACATTCCTTAGGATTAATTTAGCTTAGTTTTCATCAAATCAAATCATTGTATTAGTGAAATTCAAGAATTATTCTCAAAGTTGGGCAATTTGTATTCAACATTTGAAGCTTCAATTAGTAATTTCTCCAACCTTCTTCCTTTTAATTTCAGATTTCATTTGGTATTTGCATGTTATTTAAATCTTCTTAGTTCTTGGTAATTTGTTATTGGATGATAGTTATTTCAATTGTTAACCACTTTTCCCCAATTATTGAAGTATTTAGAACCCTAATTCTTGATTGCATGTTGATAAACATGAGTTGTGAGTAGTTTTCTTGCTAGGGGTTGGGTGAAGCTCGACCTTTTTGGGTTAACTATGCAAATGTGGGAGAAGCATTGATGTTTGTATTGCAATTAAATTGATTATATGAGATTGCTTGTTAGTTCCTCATGATAGGTTTAGCTACCCTTGACTAAGGAGCTTGATAGTATGATATGCCTAATTTGACATGGAAGTGTAAATTGAGTACGTCATTACTTATTGTAATTTGATTATGTATCATCTATTGCTAAACTAATGAGGAATCTAAGTTTAGTAGTGTGAGTTGTTTTCTAATTGCATGAGGTTGATTTTACATATAGTCCTTGCTATATCTTGTCTATTTTACTCCCCGTTTGCCTATTTGCCTTGGTTGAGCGGATCTCATTCCCTAGTATCTTTAATTCATTGATTTAGCACCATAGTTTGTTTGTCTTCTTGACGAACCCCTATTCACCAATTGACTTCGAGCTAGCTTAAGTGTAAAGATCTTTGGCAATCATATCCTGTTCCTTGTGGACCGAACTCTTACTTGTCATTATTCTTGGTTTGTAAGGTGTTTGTTAATAAATGTGTTTGATTGAGTGTGGAATGTACGACCGTTCGCACGCCCATCAAAATGGCGCCGTTGCCGGGGAACGGTGTTGTTGATAGCTAATTGATTACTTGAGTCTAGTTCACCATAAAAAAAAATTCAAAAAGATTGTCTCTTTTTGGCTACACTTGTAGCCTTGGTACTAATTGCGTTTGTTGAGAGTGTATGCGCAGAACTCATAACAGGATCTTGGTACCTTACGATCCCGAGATTGAGCAAACTTATAGAAGGAGAAAAAGAGCCGGTTCTAGGCCGTTTACTACTCCCCCAGCTAGAGAGACCAATTTCGAGGAGGATCGAGATCAAATGGGTGACGCGGAACCACCACCTCAAAGACCTTTAAAGGAGTTGGGAACTCCGGGAGCTTATAGAGCTTCAAGCGGCATTGCTCCACCCGTTACTCAAGCCAATGACTTCGAGATTCGGCCCGCAATGATTAATTTGATTGAAAGGAGGCAATATAGTGGAGCAAAACATGAGAGCCCTCTTGCACACTTGAACGAGTTCGAAAAATATTGTAACACGATCAAGGTAAATGGGGTAACTCAAGAGTTTGTGAGACTAAAGTTGTTTCCTTTTTCTTTGATAGGAAGAGCTCTTGAATGGCTTGAGAAGGAGGTGAGGCCTAACTCCTTGAGAACTTGGGACGAGGTCACCACGGCTTTCTTAGGAAGATTCTATTCCCAAAAGAAGACGGCCGAGGCAAGAGCTTTGATCCAAGGTTTCCGTCAAAAAGCTAGTGAAACCATTTATGAAGCATGGGAACGATACAAGGAATATCAAAGGGAGTGCCCTCATCATGGCATTCCTTCATACCAAGTGCTTCAAATTTTCTATGGAGGCTTGAGCCCACAAGGAAAGACTAGCTTGGATGCAGGAGCGGGTGGCCCGATTATGAACAAGACGGAGGAGCAAGTCATAGAGATAATTGAGGATGTGGTGAGGCACCACATGGATTGGCAAGAAGGAGAGAGAGATTCTCTAAACAAGGGAGGAAATGCGGTTTACTCCGTTGATCATCTTAATGCCATCAACAATTTGACCTCCCAAATCGCCAACCTTGGAAAGGAGATGACGTCCATTAAGGCAAAACTAGAGACCTCTAGTTCAACACAAGAGCATCCCTCCCAATCTAAGGGGAGAGGTATGAATTCTAACTCTTCTCCCTCTACTTCTAATAACATGCCTCATGGATGTTTGTTTTGTGAAAATTGTGGGTCTTATGACCATGATACCTCTTCTTGTAATTATGATTTCCAACCCCAACCCCAATACGAAGATGGTAATGAAAATGAAAATGAACAAGTCAATGCCTTGTCTTATGATAATAGACATAGGAATGACAATCAAAGATACTTACCACCAAATAGAAGAGAACAAGGGGGGAATTCCTATAACCAAAGAGGAAATGATTACGATTACCATAATCAAAATCAATGGGGAAGTAGGAACCAAAGGGACCAAAATCCCCAAGGTAACTACAACCAACAAGGTGGTTATGGTAACCATAATCATAATAATCAAGGAAACTATGGGAATCAAGGGCAATTTCACCAAGGGGGAAACTCTAATAATCGGAACAATTGGAACAACAATAATAATAGAGTTTCTTCTAATCAAAATACGTCCAATTCGAATGCTAGAGGTAATAGGGCTTCCCAAGACAACCACTATGCACAAGCACCACATAGTAGGTCTAGCTTGGAGGAAATGATGGAAAATCAAACTAAAATGTTCAATTCTTTCATGGCCTCAAGTGAAAATAAATTTAGTGAAGTAATGACCCATAACAAAATGCTTGAAACACAAATTTCTCAATTGGCCAATGCTTTAAAAGAGGGTGCTAGCACTTCTAAACTTCCACCCCAAGGACTTGACCCCAAGAAACCGGTGAATGCTATATCAACTAGGAGTGGGAAAGTGTTGGAAGAGAGAGTCCCTAAGGAAAACAATGAGAAAGTGAACATGAGTGAGCCTCCCTTTAAAAGCGATTCTGAACAAGAGAGAGAGCAAAACCATGAGAATGAAAAGGAGAAAGAATGTGAGAAAGAAAAAGAATTTGAGAAAGAGAGAAGAGAAAAAGATAGTGAAAAAGAAACCAAACAATTGCAAAGACTTCCATATCCCCATAAATTTGTGAGACACAAATTAGATGTGCAATTCGGAAAATTCCTTGAAACACTGAAGCAAATTCACCTTTCAATCCCTTTTACCGATGCTATCAAGCAAATGCCTAACTATGCTAGGTTTTTAAAAGATATTTTGAGTGGAAGGAGAAAGTGTGATGTGGTGGAAACGGTGAATCTCACCGAGAATTGTAGTGCTATTATCATGAATAAGATGCCACCAAAGTTAAAAGATCCCGGTAACTTTTCTATCCCATGTGCAATATACAAGATGCAAATTGATAATGCTTTGTGTGACCTAGGGGCTAGTGTTAGTCTAATGCCATACTCGGTATACCAAAGACTTGGGATAGGGGAACTTCTACCCACCAACATCACCCTTCAATTGGCCGATCGCTCTATTAAATTCCCAAAGGGTAAGGTAGAGGATGTTCCTTTAAGGGTGGGGAAGTTTGTAATCCCGGTGGATTTTGTTGTGCTAGAGATGGATGAAGATGTTAACATTCCAATAATTCTAGGAAGACCTTTTCTTGCTACTTCGGGTGCTTTAATAGATGTTCAAAGT